GAGAGAGAGAGAGAGGTGTACAAGTGAGAGAAAAGTTAGAGAGAGAAAGTTGTTTAACTTATGTGACCATTTAAAGGCCCTATGAGAGCATGTACTGAAACTATGCATAGTGAAATGTGTGGTCCAGATTGGACTGTGAGACATTATTAATGCCGAGACGCATTCAAGCTTTGGCTGGCTATGGCTCAGGGTTATGTGTAAAACCTATAGCCCTGAGCATTTGTACAACACCGATAAGGGTTTTGATGTGGGGTTATCCCTTGATGAGGTCGAAGTTGTTCCCAAGGTGGTTGGCCAAGGGACTGGATGTGACCCTTGTGTGTGATGGTTGGCCAGAGAGGACAAAGGTCAAAATCCTCATCATTACCATCACACATCATGTACACTAGATAGCCATCTGGGAAGCAGCCATTTGGATGAGGCTGTGTGTTGTGTACGTGCCGAAGAGATGACACCCTGCAACACTGGACTGTGTTGGAAGGACCCCATGTAATATCGTGCTAGTATGAGGCTTGAACTTATCTCCAGGGGGGGACTTGTAATCCATAGACTTGGATCGTGACTCTTTTATTTATTGGCTAACTTTGATAGTCCAATCATGAATCTTTATGAAGGACTATGAGTCATGGGAACTATTGGGTCAGTTTGAGAAGGTGCAGTGAGATCCGGTTTTTTAGAAATGGAGTCCTCAGTATATTTGTTTATCCAGATCCAATTCCCATCAAATCTTCTTTAATATGCACAATTATGCTTTAATTATATTTTAGATAATTAAAAGGAAGTTTTAGACCTTTCTTGATATTTTATTTTATTGAAAAAGGATTTTTAAATAAGAAAAATTGTTTTTCTCGATATATTTAATTCACAGAGCAAAATAAAATATTTAATGGATTTATAAAAATATTTTTATTATTCTAAAATATAATTTAGGGTGTGGGGGCCCATTGGGACTTTGGCCCACCACAAATAAGCCCACTAGTTGGGGCATGGGGCCCACATGGCTATCCATGTGTGGGTCCCCCCACTCCCTCTTCTTTCCTTTTTTAACTTTTGTGTTAAAGCCACCTTCTTGATTGAAAAATAAAAGGAAAGTATTATGCAGAGAACTTGTGTGTTAAAGCCACACGCCCAAGCCTAGGTGCTTGTTTTTTGCGTATGTATTGATCTTAGTCAAAGCTCTATCCTATGTCATGCTTTCAAGAGGTTTTTCTTAGGCTTCCCGAGTTTTGAGATGAGGCTAGACCAAGTTTCGTGTGCCATTGGTGAGGAGACCTGGTGTGGGGTGTACGAAATCCTTAGAGGTAATCTGAAGTAAGGTATGCGGTATTGTCGTATTTCCTGTTTTCTTGAATTTATTCGAAGTGATGCAACTTTTTAAATTTATGTTTTGTATGAGTTTTTGTTTTGATAGCAAGCAAGTGAGAGGCCTTGGCATTCTTTGTGGTTTTATTGGTTTATATATTGTATTTGGACACTTGCAAGTGATCCTGGTGGTAAACTAAAGAAAGAGAGAAAATTTTTAATCGGTAGTTACTTGCTTAGGTCACAGTCCTACTTTCAAATGTAAGTTGGAGAGAGAGGCAAGAAAATGGAGAGAGGTGGCTGGAGGCAGTCCCGTTGGGGTTACATAGCCTCCACTCCTCTCTTTATATTATTTATAAACTTATGTACAATTTAAAGTAATGCCCTTATTTCACTTATTTATTACACTAATGTCCTTAAGTATATGACAAGGACAATAATGCCCTATGGGCCCACAAACAAGGCACATAACTAAAAGAACCTATCTTGAACATATATCATAACTAAATGATGTGGTATGCACTTTCTCCTACTAGGTAATCTGTTTGTGGTTTGAGTTGTTTGATGTATTGATGTATAACATACTTTGCATCTCCTCTTCTTCATAGCAAATCACATATTCTGCTAAATTACTTTGCTGGGTGGTTCCTTGATAAACAATGAACAAAATGAAATATTTATTCATTGGCACAAAATTGGCAGTGATTTTTTATGCCATTTTTATTATAGATAATTATAGGCTAGGATTTGCTATTTATTCTATGTATTAGTTTAGTTTCGGCAATTTCAAAGTTTCCAATTTGTATGAGAAATGTTATTTATGTATTTCCTCTTTTGCAGCTCCACATAGCTGAGTTGTTGGATAGCTGAATTAGTGGATAGTTCTACTAGTGGTTTGCTTTTGCTTGCTTTGAAGTTTATTCATTGGGTTGCATGTTGAGAAGACATCACAAGTTACGTTTTGATATTAGCCTGGTCATACTTGATTTTGTAGTGTTGTGATTGTTACCTATACACATGCATAGACGCGCAGGCATACACACGTGTTTGTGAGTGTGGGTGTTAAAACTGCTTATTGTCTTAGCTTTGCCATAATTCTCTTGACATCTGACGGTTGAATGACTAAAATGTGAACCTCACTACATTTTTTTTTCTTGTTGCATTACCTTTGCTTCGACAAATGGAACTTTTATGCTGCAGCAAGAAATTGATCTCCTGAAGGTACTTTGCTTCTTGTTACCTTTTGTACAAGTTGGGTTTTTTTTTTAGTTTTGCAATTTTTTTTTTCTTTCTATTTTATTTATAAATCTCATTTTCAATGTAATCAAGTTATGGTAAGATGTTGAAGGAAAACACTTATGAGACCGAGGCAATAAGCTTCATTGGCTTCAACTTTCATTTCCCCACTTACACCCATGCCAACTACCTCATTAGCGACCCTTGCAACATGTAGTTGACCGACTAAAGACACAGACTATGATATTCTCCAAGAAAATTTCTTATGCTTCCCACAGAATTGCCTTTTAGTCTTTTCAACAATTGGATGGCTTTTTCAAATCATCCACTATGATGCATGTAATTGTATTTCTATTTTGTCAAAAAATAATAGAACTATTATCAAAATAATGAGATATTCCCTCCTCATCTCCAACTCCGGTTTTTAACCCATTTGGAGTCAGTATCTCTCTCAAGCAGAGCACTTACTATCTTTCTCCTCTCTAACTCCCCAGGTTTGGTTTTCCTTTTTGAATTGTTGTCAAAATTGATAATTAAAACATCTTCTTTTGTGGCATTTTTCTTCATTTATGGTTGCGTCTTAGTGAAAATTGTAGGCTTACAAGCCATCAATTACTGTCTTTTTTATTATCCCAAGTATCGGTATCTGATGTACTACTAGTCCCTTCTAAATTGTTCCATCCAGGATACCTAAAAGGGATTCTATTACTTCTTCCCGTCCAAATTTTCTACATTATCACTGATACATATTCTTTGCAAAGCTTTTGAGCCCCTTTTGTTCCAAACGAGGTGGAACAATGTCCACGCAAACCTGTAATCAGATAGGAGCGACTGAAATTTAAATACATCTAAGTTATGAAAACTCTTCTCCTTAGTCTATTTTTTCATTTTTTCATTGGAAAATTATTTTATTTTTATTAATTGTTCTTGTACTCTAAAACCTTGAAAAAAATTGCTTGATACATGGTTGTTAGCAGGTATGATGTTTTTGTGTTGGTAAAATAGTAATTCTTTCCTATCTATTTTCATTTTTTATTGACAGAATTTGAACCACAAAAACATTGTGAAATATCTTGGATCTTTCAAGACAAAGACTCACTTGTATATCATTCTTGAGTAAGTGATCTATAAATCTAAGTATGATTTTGTTTTGAGCATGTTCTTCAGTGCAATGCTAACATGGCTTTGTAGCTTGAAAGTAGTATTTCATGTTTCCTGTTGCGATGTTATGTGTCATATTATTGCAGGTATGTTGAGAATGGCTCACTTGCGAGCATCATCAAGCCAAACAAATTTGGCCCTTTCCCTGAATCTCTCGTGGCTGTTTATATTGCCCAGGTTGGTTTCTTTGTTAGCATCTGAGTCTTTGCTGTTTTCACTTTTGATCATTTTGGTTACATTGTATCACTATAATTAGGTCTTGGAGGGTTTGGTGTATCTACATGAACAAGGTGTAATTCATCGAGACATCAAGGGTGCAAATATCTTGTCGACAAAAGAGGTTAGCTTTGTTTTTTGCATTGTCTTACAGATTGGCTTCACCTTTAATTTTGTCTTCTTTAGTTTTATTCTTATTACAATGTATTCTGCAATTTACTCTCTCTGATATCCTTTGCAGTTATTTTTGCACATTGTCTTCCTAGATAATGTTGTCCTCTGCAATTAGGTATGCATTTTTGGGAAATTTATCAACATACACCTACCTTATGAACTATTTAACACTTTATTCATTTTCAACTATTCCAACTCATGATTATGTGTATTTCGATGGGCTTTTTGAAATTAAATTAAAAGAAATGTGTAAAATGCTTTTTCTCTCAAAAAAACAAAAAGTGTAAAATGCTAAAGAATTCATCTCATAGGATCATTTGATAAATTTCAATAGATTTACTAATTACCTCATACTATTATTGACTGGCGTTGTTTGCAAATCTAGTGTCTTCATAGGTTTATAAGGTGCATGCTCCATGCCCTTATTTTTATGCCCATGTAATAGCTGTTGTTTTCATTATCATTCTAATCAGGCGAGAACAACTTCTTTTGTCTGGTTTGGTTGAATGTGATGCCAGGTTAATTACAGAGTGTCATATTGGAAATGACCACTAATTGGCTTCAGGTTGATCAGCTATTATCTGATTCGAAATTGACTGGTTCACACTGGCATACTGGAAATTTTCAGGCTTTGGTGCAGGCTATTTATTGCTTTCATAATGAATCACAGGAGGAAAGATTCTAATTTTGCATCTCATGGGTTAAAGTGCTAAGTTATATTGATGTGTCTAAGTGCCATAGCACAATCAAATGCAGCGAGGCCGGGAGAGTAAGGTGTACATGTATGGGTTAGAAGTAACATTTTTCATTGGAAAGAAGCTATTGTGAAAGACAACTGAGTTATATATCCCGAAAGTAGGTCTAGTTTTGGATGTGTGCTGAGAATTCATGCTTGTAGCATTATGCACTTCTTTTTGCACCAACCCTTTTAGGTTCTCCCCATAATTCATGTTCTACTTGAAAGTTCCATAAATTGGTAACCATCACTGTTCAAAAACTCATGTGGTGACTTATCTTGGCAACCTGGTCAGCGCCAGTGATCCATATACAACTTGGCTAACTCTCACTATCTTCTCTTAACTTTTAAAGAGGCTTGGCTAGGTCTTGCTCTGAGTTGTATGAGACTCGGCCTTGTTGACTAAGGTCCAGGGTGAACCCTGATGAAACCAGTCACGAGACTACAAAGGTCCAGAAGAAAGTAAAAGGGGAGCGGTAGTGGGGCTGACACATGATCCTCCAGATGACATCATTTACTTGTATGCGATTGAAATTTTGGATTTCTTTTGGGGTTGACTTCTCTGCAATTTTTAGTGTCTTTAGGGTTTGCTCGATGTTTTTTGGGTTTCAATGTTTTACAGATCTTTAGATTTTGGGGACTTTGCGAGTGTTTTCTTCCCCTGAGTCTATATTACCATACGTATTACGTGAAGATGGTTGAATGGTCAAATCAATTTTGGAGAGAGAAAACTCTAGGTTCAATGTGCCTTTTTGGTAGGAATGGACTCAAGGCATAGGTGTTCAGGGGCTGGGTGCCACAACTTGACATCTTGAGTTTTATTCCTGCAATAGGTAGGGGATCCTTTTCCCGCTGATCGTTCCAAAAAAAAAAAATGTACCTTGGTGGTTGAGTCTTGGTCTCTATTTTAGTTTATGATGGGTGGCACAAAGAAATGAATCTATTGTAATTGTTAAAGAAAATTCAAGAGCCACAGCTTTTTTTTTTGCTATTATGACTTGTGTTTTCTGCATTCTTTTCTTCCTGGACTTTATCTATATAGTGAATGATCTACATCCCTAATATCGTCTTTCTTTGGGAACTTTCAAATAGTGATTCGGGTATGCCATCAAGGAAGTGCTCTTGGTCTTGCAATGGCATTTACATCCCTGATATCAGTTTTTCTTTGGGATCTTTCAAATGGTGATTCGGGTATGCCACCAAGGAAGTGCTCTTGGTCTTGCAATGGCTGGAGAGATGATAAATTGCAAGAACTCGAGGGACATGTAGAGCAACTTAAACTTAGCTTGCAAAGACGAGAGAGATCTGAATCTGATAGGGTAGAACATCGGAGGATCGATCATGAGACACATTAGTGACTCCCTCCTACTCTGTTATCCATGTGAAGGGCTGATAAATTCAGGAATCGAATATGATACATTTCAAATCCTTGAAGAAAATCGTGACTTTGGAATTATGTTTGATTAGACCTGAGTTTCAAGGATGCCTTTATCAGGAGGATTGGGAAGAGCCACCATTTGAGTTTCTATACATGTATATCATGAGGCCCAATGTCCAATTTCATCTGCAAAACCGATAGAGGAAAAGTTCGTTGATTGGGAAAAAATCTAGATGAAGAAGAGATGAATACCTGATGTAGATGTAATTTTTTTTGCATTCAAAGAAGAATTCATATGCAGAAGTTTTTGAACTTCTAAAGTTCAATGGCAAGCATGAAGACCTTTCAAAAAGAATTTTCAATTGGATTGAAACTATTGTTCATGCAGGAACAGGACTTAGTTCAACCATATAAGGATACACATGATACTATGTCATGGAGATCCAATGAAGGAGAACAAAAGTGAATAGTTGGACTGCACCACTAACTACCAATGGTGGAGTCAGAAGTCCAAGAGGTATGCAAAGCATGGGTGGTGAACACCATTCTTAAGAACTAGGTTAATCGAACTCCAGGATGGAACCAGTCGCAAGATTATAGATGGCCAAAAGAAGGAAAAAAGGAAAGAAACCAGGGGGACTGACGCATGGTCTTTTGGAAAAACAACACTTTCCTGGATGTGATGGGAATTGCTGGTTTTTTTGGTCTCAAGTTTTAGGTGTCTTTAGGGTTTAATCAATGTTTTTTGGATTTTGATGTCTTGCGAATCTTCCGATTTTAGGGATTTTGCATTTCCTTTTTCCTATGAATCCAGATCACCATGTGTGAAAGTGAGAAAAGTCAAATGGTCAGTCAGTCCTGGTGCTGGGAAGAGTTAAGGTTGGATGTACTTCGGTGGTTGAGTCTCGGTGTCTCTTTAAGTGTATGAGTGACAAAGGGATGAATTGATTGTAATTATTTTCGTCAAACAAAAATTTCTAAAGTTATTTTGTTGCTGCTATATCTCATGTGTCTCCATTGTTGACGTGCTGGACTTTCTATCTCATTCACATATTCGAAACATGTCTTAGTTGAGTCTGAGTTTGAAAACATTGGTAAACATGGTATGGGTTTTTCCTGGAACTTGTGGTATTTACTAGCTTTTCTTTGAGAGAAGTTTATCTGCTTCTAATCCAAATTTATTAATTGTTCGTCAATAGAGATCCTAAGGACTTTGCCGTCCGGTTCCTAAGTTTTGAATTAGCTAACTCACTGAAAACTTATGTGCATAGGGTCTTGTCAAGCTCGCTGATTTTGGAGTTGCAACTAAGCTTACAGAAGCTGATGTTAACACTCATTCTGTTGTTGGGACACCATATTGGATGGCGCCTGAGGTACTATCTTTGTGCTTTGTTATTATAATTGTTGTGATAGTTTAAGAAAACCAGTCATATTAATTATTTTGTACTGTTTACTTGGAGTTGGCTGTCACTTTTGGCAATCATAGGATTCTGATTTGTTATAATATATTTATTTATTTCACTTTTTTTGGGTAATTATTATTTATTTCACTTGCTATTAATTTATTAATAAACTGGAAACTTCTAAGTTCGGAATTGCACATATTAAGTGGCTCAAATGGAAGATCACTGGTTAAACTGTAAGGCCTGGTTAAACTGTAAGGCTGTATGTCGCTCATATTTAACATCACATATTAAGGGCCACATATTAAGTGGCTGAAATGGAATTTCCCTGCTTACTGTAAGAGTCTCAAATAGAAGAGCCCGGGTTCAATTCCATCATTTGCATTTACTAGTGCAATATGCATTACCCATTTGAGGGGCATATGTTCTCTCTTCAGTGTGGCAATGCACAAAAATGAGACAGTTTCCTCTTGTCCACCTGATTTTAGTCAGATAGGAAGTAGATATTATCTTTTGGGTGTAGCCCATATAAACATTGGTGAACTGTGCTTATCTGATCATTCATCATGGGATTCTAAATAGGGACAGTGTTCGTTTAGTAAAATGCTACTGAGAGATTGTTGTTCAGATCAAACACTCCGTGTGTGAATATGGAATGTGATATCCTTTTGAATGTATGCACAGGACTGCTGGTCTACAACAGCAATTGATCATAATTCAAATCAAATCATTCTTAGTGGAATCTATTCTTTGGTGCCTGTTGTATCTCTTCAAGCTGATTGTTCCTTCTTAATATCCATGCTGCTGTAGAGCCTACATAAGTGCCGTACTTCTCTTGAATGGCTACTTGTCTCTTTCTGTGTGTGTGAATGCACGCGATGAGATTTCAGACTTGTGAGAACATCAAACCTTAGCAACCAGCCTATTCTATATTCACCAACTTTGCTAATGTTACCGTTCTGACACTATTCAAACAGGTAGACTTTAGTGCTAATTGTTGTACACCTGCAGACAAAGATATTGGACTGTCTGGGCTTCTTATTTTTTTTGGTTAGTTATGTAACTGGTTATTACATTGAAATGATTTTATGCCTTAAACCATCAAACAATGCCATGATAATTGGTGTCACTGTTATGATTAGTGTATGGCGTCTTGTCTTTGGGAGCAATTGGAGCTGTGAAAATGATTCCTGTTGTGCTTGGATCCTTGTAGGTAGTTGACCTCTGTGATTTCTATGATATAAGCCACTTTGGCATTCCATACAAACCATATACTCCTCATAAATTTCTGTATTTGTTGGCTCAGATGGGAACCCTCCTCTGTTCATCTGTGTTGAGTTTTGCCAATTTTTTAACTATCATCCTTTTTGTTTTGGCCTTTTATGTAGGATTTTAGGATTGGGTATTGGGGAACACCCATTTCCAATATGAAGACCTTAGTTGGAACATACAGGGACTGGGTGAACCCCTCAAAAAGGAGCGCAGTTAGTAGTCATACCTCGGATACCTTTCCATACACCCGTACTCTACAAAAATGGAGTCCGGCAACCTCCAACAAGCCTGCTCTGGGGTAGAAGACCTGTGGTTCAAGAGCCATTTGGGTCCTCTGGGACCCTACAGTGTTAACCCAAGTTGCTATCCTTATTAGTTCCTTTTCTGTCTCCATTTCTTTTCACACAATAGTGACAACCACCCTTGGGTATCTTAAAAGCCAGTTCTGGGAAGAACTAGGCCATATCCAAACCCTGTTCTCCCTACCCGGGTGCATTGGTGGTGGCTTCAACATCACTCGGTAGTTGTTTGAAAGAACCAGGTGGGGCAGGGCATGGGCAGCATGGTCGATTTTTTACAATTAATCTTCACGCACAGTCTCATTTACCTTCCGCTCAATGGGGCATCTTTCACTTGGTCTAACAGTCAAACCATCACTAACCCTGTCCAAGTTGGACAGATTTTGGTCAATCCAACCTGGGAAAATCACTTCCACGAGTTCCATTCCAGGTCCTTACTGGACCAGTCTCTGACTGCATCCTTATTCTCCTTGATTTCCTGCCAAGCTGGAGGACAGGAGCCTCCACTCCCTCATCCCCCTATGTTAGTCCTCATTCATGGTCCAAGGATGGGTGGGATTTAGAATTTTCAAGTATATTCCAGCTCCTGAAACAAAAGTTGATAGCTTTGGGACCAAGACCATTTCAGGTTCCTACCTACCAAAAAACTGCCCCTCCTATCTGAAATTGTAGAGCTAGACTCACTTGAGGAACAAACGGACCTCTACCCGACAAATTTATTAGATCTTTGATTACAAAATATCTTGGAACCAGGGACCCATAATAAGATGGCTTAAAGGAGTAAAAAACACAACTTTCTTCCTTAAAACTACTGACTGCAGAAGAACCAACACCATTTGCCTTATTAGACATTAGGGTCGAATCTTTTAAGACAATGAAGACATCTACCGCGTCATACCTCTTTCTTCTAAACTATCACCGAGGACAGTGCCTTCTTGTTAGAGAGGCCCTTTACCAAACAGGAATTCGTCAAAGCCATCACCGATCTTGGCCATGACAAGGCTCGTGATCTATATTGCTTGTTATTTGCTTTCATGAGTTCTGGGAATCCATCGGCCCTAGTATCTTTGAATGGTTTGCTGAATCCATGCTAAGGGTGTGATGAACAAGGGCATGAACCCTACATTCATTGCCTAATTCCATATTTGGAAGGGGTTTAGGAAATGAACGATTTCAGGCCAATCAGTCTAATCAACAACTCCAAGGTCTTAGCTAAGGCCCTCGCCTCTTGACTGCGCCACACCTAGAGGCAATCAATCTCCCCTTCCTACGGAGCTTTTGTAGAATGCAAACAGATTCTGGACTGTGCACTCTTCACTAAGGAGTGCATTGACAAAAGGTTCCAATCAGTGTTCCAAAAAATGCCAGGCGGCGCTTAGGTGGTCGAGGGGGTCCTGGCCGCCCAATGCCTAGGTGGCTGCCCAGGTTCGCCTCTAGGTTGAAGAAGAGGGGCAGGGGGCAAGGGAACATGAGTATGCATTATAAAATATTAAAAATCCCATAATCCAAAAAGTCTCAAACCATTTAAATTTGTAATAGATAGACTAATAGCACAACCCAAAATAAAATATAATAGTAATCCTTAAATTTGTAATTTAGTCAATCCATACTCCATACATATTCCATGATCCATAGTTCTTATCATTTGATAATCCATAGTTCCATACAATGATACAACCATACATGCATACACATCCGAGTAGATAAGTAGAAACTAGAAAATAAGAAAACCAAATATACAGTCTTAGACTTAACACTAAAAAATCAAGTGTCTTTAGTCATCATCAGAAAAAGTTGGGTAAGCCTCATCATATGCATCGGAGTTGAGTCCATCAACATCAGACTGATCTGCTTTATCAACATAACGCTCGTCCTCCTCTATTTCTTCTGAATTTGCCTCTTCCTCCCCTTCTTCTACCCCCTTTTACTTTGTGTAGATGAGGCCTAAGAGTCTTGGTTGCTCTACTTGGTGTCGCTTCACCCTTTTCTTGCTTTTTATGTTTCACTGAACACAAATATTGCTTAATCTCGTCCCTGGTAGTCTCAAGAATATTTACACGGGGCAACATCCCCTTTAATACCGGCAAGGTGTTTCTTGAACATGTAAATGGGCCATTAGTATCCTTTTCACAATAATTGCACTTTTTATAATATTTGTCATTCGAATTCGGTTTATGACCATACTTCCAACCCGGATCACCTCTTCTAGAAGAACATGGAGAAGATATTGCCATATAATTGGGTTCATTTTCTTCCTTTTCTGGTTTTACTAAATTCAAATATTGTCTAATCTCATCTCTAATAGCTTCATGAACTTTTTTACAAGAATCAACATTCTCTTTAAAACTGACTACATATTCTTTGAATTGATTAATACCCCCATTGGTATCTTTTTCACAAAAATTACACCATATACAATTTTTATCATTTCGTTTTGGGTTATAACCATACTTCCAACTCGGATCACCACTTCTAGAACAACTAAAAATAAACTTATCCAAATTACAAGGCTTTTGTTTGTATTTGTGTTTTACCGAACTTATATATGGCTTAATCTCCTCTCTGATAGCTTAAAGAACATTTTTACGAGGTGCAACTTCCCCCTAATACCGGCAAGGTGTTTTTTGAACCGACTTATACCCTCATTAGTATCTTTTCCGCAAAAATTACATCTAATATGATTTTTGTCATTTGGCTTTGGGTTATAACCATACTTCCAACCTAGATCGCCATTTCTAGAAGAACCCAAAGAAGATGTTGAAATAACAAATAAAATCTCAAATATGAAAATTTTAACTATCTTTTTCGCTCGATCTTCAATGTTTGAGATGTTTCCCGATCTCAAATACTTCCCAAAAACCGGCTAATATGCTTAAAAACCCATCAAAATCAAATCTAAACAGAAAAGACGATGTTTGGATCAATTTTTCAAAACTCTGAAATACACAATCGATCTCCTAGAAATGTAAAAATTGATAATTTTTAAATTTTTTTCACTCTAAAGGTAAAACAAAAGGATTTAGGTCACACAATAACTTAACCCCCCCCCCCCCCCCCCCCCCTCTTTTCCCCTTATTTAGGGAGGCTTTTTGAAACATTGGTTCCAATTGAAAAATCTAGAGTTGGATCTTGAAAAGGCCTATGACCATGTAGATTGGAGAGTCCTTGTTGACATGCTATCGTTTGAAGGGTTTCGGTTCCAACTAGAGATCTTGGATCTCAATCCTCATCAATGCCTTCCCAAAGGTTTTGGTCCTGCCTAGTGAGGCAAGGTGACCGGCTATCCCCCTTCCATTTTACCATTGTAGCGAATATCTTTAATAGGTCTATTGAAAAGCTTTGCCATCATGATATGCTAAATGGTTTCTCCTTCTTAGACCATGGCCCCACCATTTGCCACCTTCTCTACATGGATGCCCTAGTTATTTGTGATGCAACCCCACGGCAGGTTGATAATATTTGGCTGTTCATACGATGCTTCAAGCTGGCCACATCACTTGGAACCTGACAGCATGCAAGCCCTTGCTCGAAGAATGGGGTTTGGTATTGATACGCTCCCGGGCAATACCTCGGGCTGGCCTCGGCAATCCAGAAAGGCAAAATGGGATGGCATTTTGGAAAACTTTGGAAGGAAACTGGCATCTTGGAGATGCCGCTTCCTCTCCATTGGTGGCCTTATTACACTGATCAGTCCATGGTAGCCAACATCCTGGTCTTCCAAATATCTCTATTCCACATGTAGATGAGAATCTCTCACAAATTGATGAGAGGCTCTTTATGGAATGGAACTATTGGCTACAATAGTTACCATCTTGTAAAATGAGAAAAATTATGAATGCCAAAGTATGCAGGGGGACTTGGGTGATGTGGAATGGATGCCTTGGGACTCCTCAGAGGCTCGTCATCAGCAGGAGTATTCAGAGCCTGGAAGGCCATTTGGCAGATAAACAGTCACTTCTCCAGCTATATGCGCTTCTTACCCAAATCAGGGAACCATATGTTTTTGGAAAGACTTGTGGCTGGGGGAATCAGACACCTGGACTATCCTTTTTGACCCTCTTCAATGCGGCTGTGTTGGGAAGCTATTATTGCAAATTACATTGCGTCAGAGGGTGGTCATTTGGTTTGGACTCCCCTACTACACCAGGATTTTAACGATTGTGACACTGCCGAGCTTTTATCCCTAATCCACAGCCCACTACATCTCCTTGTCTGGCCCAGAGAAATTCATGTGGTCTCCAACTCCAAAAGCACCTTAACAGTGTCTTAACAGGTCTAATCCCCTGCGCTTCCCTCCCCAGCTAGTGCGCACAAGTCCTGCTCTTCCCTCCCCAGCTAGTGCGCACAAGTCCAAGCCTTTAACTGGCTTGCAACATAAATAAACTATAAGGGAGAGGGGTCCAGCTAGGAAATAGGTGTATGATGTGCAATGGCCTCTACGATCTGGGGATTCTTCTTCGGACTGTTCAATCATCGCTGCGCCACCCCATTCACCATGGAACACCTGTTCAAACATCGTCACTCCCTACTCCTGCCCACGGCAGGGTTCATACTGTGGTGTTTAACCACGTAGGGCATCATTTGGTCCATTTGGATTGAGCAAAACCGCTAAACCTTTGAAAGCTCATTGGACTGCACCTCTACGCTCGGGGAGCTGATCGGATCTACTTTATAGTTTTCTGGGCCTCCTCACCCAAAAAACTCAGCTAATACTATACCTCGGACTTACTTAAGAACTTGCGTCACAGCATCTCATCCTCTTTGAATGCTATCCCAAGATCCTCCTTGTGGCTGCTCCTGAGTCAAGGTGTTATCAAACTTAACTTTGATGGCAGTTCTTTAGGGAACCCTAGACTTACTGGTTTAGGGGGTGTTTGGATCACATACAGGCGAGACCTTGATAAACTTCTCGGGCCCAGCAGGCATTGCTGATTCCTCCCTTGTCGAATCAATGGCCTACTGTGCGTGCAACTGTTCAATCGAGAGCGGGACTCTTCCATCCTTATTGAAGGTAACTCCCTCAATGCCATCTCTTGGGCTAACAAAACTACCCCCTGCCTTTGGAGAAGGCTTGATGACTTCTCCAAGCAGTTCTTCACCTATGCCGTGGCCTCTTGAATATTTTTTGACATAGATGGCATGAAGCAAAACCCCCGGGAACCCACTTGCTTAAGAAGGGTCACCCTTCCCACATAATATGGACCCAGCAACCCCATCCAGCATAAATCACCAATTTTGTATAGAACCCCTACACATTCTTATGCTGAAATTTTGTAACTAATAACCCATACATGGTTTTCCCACCACATACATCAATTGGACAAGTTCAAATGACAAATGCAAATTGCAAAGAATCATTTATCAAAAAATTGTTGGCTTCTTTTCTGGTCATCTATGGCTCAAATTGGCAAAAGTTAACTTCATAGTAATTGGATATATCCTGATGTAAAATATGTTTTGCAATAAAATTTAGTTATTTGTTAAGTTCTAGTAGTTTGTTGTATCTATTACTTCCATATATATGTTGGCTCTTTTCTGCTTTGGGCAACTCTTGCTGAATTCTAAATTTATGGCCTGCCTTTATGGACATGATCTTTTAGGCTTATAGAGATCTGCAACATATGAAAAGTTCTTCTGAATGGGAGGATAGTTTTGTGTAGGTGATTGAAATGTCTGGGGTCAGTGCTGCATCAGATATCTGGAGTGTTGGCTGCACGGTGATTGAGCTTCTCACTTGTGTTCCCCCATATTATGATCTCCAGCCTATGCCGGCCCTTTTCAGGATCGTTTCGGTAAGGCCATTGAACATTTCTATCTGTAGGCAAGTTGTGGAGGCTGAGGTCACATCATGAACGCCATTTAATTTTCCACTAGAATACATCATCAATTTTTTTTTTTTTCTCCCCACTAAAATATAGTTTCTTCTTTCAAAATGGGCATTTTGCATTCAAGAATATCTTCGTGATTTTCCTTTTCAATCACGACCTTTACTTTTTTAAGAAATCCTGAAACGGATTCCTGTTTATACCAAAATAGAAAAGACATAATGTGTTCTTCTGAACATCTGATATGTTGTTTATACTTCTGCTAAGCATGTAGTTATGTTTCTTGATTAGGATGAGCAACCTCCTATACCAGATCGTCTCTCTCCAGGCATTACTGATTTCCTTCATCAATGCTTTCGGAAGGTAAGACTGCCAAAATGTTGTTTATATGACATTTGTCGAACATGATGCACATTCTTGACATCATGTTGCTTATAAGTGCTTCACAGGATGCAATGCAGAGACCTGATGCAAAGAAATTACTGATGCATCCTTGGATACGGAATTCAAGGCGTGCATTGCATTCATCGCTTCAGAGGACTGGTGCAAGAATAAGGTACTCATTAATTACTTTGTCATTCTCTTCATTTTTTTTGATAATAGTTGACTTTTACTTATACCTATACCATCTATAAGTAATCACAAAAACATCACAGAGGAAGGCAATCCACAGGTCGGGTGCTCTGGCTCATACAAAAGTTGGGGAGTCTGTGTACAAAAGTGTTGAGTAGGAAAGAAATGAGAGGTACAAAATTTGGCAGTGCCCCTTGTCTTGAGGTACAAACGAAGGCATCAAGGATAGAAAGGGTAATGACAGTGGGAGCGGAAGATTAGATAGTGTAAGATAGAAGATGAACGAGGGTCGAGAGAGTTGAAGCCAGCTGCACGTGGCAGACTCCCCATAAGCTTGCCTGCTTCTTGTTAGGTTTGATTGTGTGGCAGTCCCTCTAGAAGCGTCCTCGCTTGTGAGCACATTGTTGGTAAGAGTTGGCCTCCTTCCAGGTATGTTGGAAACTAACTAGAGGAGGCCTGTAGAATGAAATATGTGGTAAAAAATGGGTTCCAGTCTCCAAGGGCAGGGGAAAGCTTTGGACGCCTGAAGGATGACTTCTTTTGAGTCTCCTTTGACAATCATGGAGGAACCTATGAGGGGTTGAGAATCTTGAGTCCTTTTAACTTTTTTGTTGTCGTCTTAGTTGTGGAGAAAATATAGGACGGCTACTTTTTGATCAGCTGGTTATTGTACTAATGAGTGAATTTTTTGAGACATGATTTTGATCATGTTTTCTTCCCTAGGTACAATATTTTGTATCTTTAAGAAGTAAAGCTTTATGATCTTTCCTGGCCTTCGGGATTCTATCTTGCACTATATCCACCACACTTGTAGGGAAAAACTCTAAGATGATTTTTCCTCAAAATACAAGCATTGTTGGTAAGGATCAAGGTTTTAAAAAATGGATTGGTGACCGGACACTAAAACCCTGTTGGATTGGTGGATTGACAATCTAGATAAGAGAATCGGCCGGTTTTAGCCTAAAAAAATTTCAAAAAATTACTATAATTTCTTAAAAATCTAGTTTTTTAGACATCTAAAAAAAAAAAAAGTAATTGCATTATGGCTTTCTATTATTGTGTCAAAAATATGGAAATACTGAGAACCAGCTTCATGTATGAGTGTTTATTGTCTACTAGTGATTTAAAAAACAGATCAATGACTCGGATCGGGCACCCCAAAAAGTGATATGGATTGGCAAATCGGGGATCCGAATCGTCATTCTACTGTACAGAAAAAACAATGAACTGACGAAAAACACGTGAAAAAACAATGAATTGGCTAAAAACCGGTCAGGATCGGTGAATCGGTGAGAATTGCTGTTTTGCTATGCAGAACTGACGTTTCCCTTCTAGACAATCGTTTACTATATATACGTAGAATTAGAAAGGGGTGACCGATTCTTGGGTTACATTGGGCAAATCCGTGCCGACCTGGCATTTTTTAAATCGTTGTTGTCTATGAAATTCATTTTATAATCAAAAGAAAATTTAAAATGCAACTCATGGCGATAAAATGGGTCTCTCTAACTCAATTTTATTTTTTTATTTTTGTATTAACTTAGGAGTTTTGATTTTTGAAAGAAGCATACTATTCATTCTTTTTATTTAAAAAAAAAAATTTATTTATCTACTGTCTTTTTTTTAACTATTGGTTTCTTTGCTCTTATAATCTTAGTTTCATGCATTTGATGTTGTTTGTGATGAGATGAGAAAGATATTGATGTTTTGTGGTGGCTGTATACCTCAATTCGGGAAAGTTTAGGTATGGCACCAAGAGGCGATAAGATGAGAGAGAGTAGGCTTAGGTGGGTTGGCCATGTGTGGCGTCGACTCCGTATAACACCTGTTAGGAGGTGCGAGTTAGTTCAAGTGGAAGGATTGAAAAGGGCAAAGGGTAAGCCCAAAAGGACGTGGATGGGAGTAGTTTGAAAAGATATGGGGACTTATGGTCTCTGAGGGTATGGCCTTAAATAGAGCAGAATGACGGACCAGGATTCGTGTAGGCGACCCCAATTAATCGGGAAAAGGCGATGATGATGGTGGCTATATGCCACTTGAATTTTGAAATAATGATATGGTGGCAAAAGATCTAGTTATAATTGTTTGGTTTTAAAGGGAAAACAAAAAATTAGGTGATTGTCCCTTTATGTTTTATACAATTACAATTGTTGTTTTGTTGTTTAAACTCTCAAGCCTTGGGAAAATTTACCCGATTATATCTCTCTTAACTGTTGGTAGAGAGAGAGAGCTAATTATCTATGAGACCAATTACCTATGGAGACCCGCTTTCTCTCTCGACTATTGTTTTTGTGGAGAGAGAGAGAGAGAGAGAGAGAGAGAGAGAGAGATCATAATCTAGTATTATCAACTAAGTTAAAACGTACTAACTAATACTAAATTGTTCATATGAGAGAGAGAGAGAGAGAGAGAGAGAGAGAGAGTAGTTAGTTTAAGTATCTACGTAAGTAGTTAGTAATCGTGTCGTCGTACTCTACGTTACTTAATTTAAGTTAAATTTAAACTTTACTAACGTAA